GGAGGAGGTGCTGCAGATTATGCAAGTGCTAAAGTTAACTCAAAGGTGTGGCAAGAGTCTTGCACAGGCATGGGGTATCTATCTATCTATCTATCTATCTATCTATCTATCTATCTATCAGCAGAAGAGGAACTGCTAGGAAAGCCTGCCATGACTGTAGTGTTCTCTGCCTTCTGATACTCACACCGCACTTTCACTTGCACAGTGCAGCTTTCCTGTCCAGCCTCATTGTAGGCAGTGCATTGGTAGGACCCCGCAACCATCTGCGTGAGATTCTTCAGCAGGACTTGCCCAGGGTTAGAAATATCTGAGACAGAAAAAGAAACTCTTAATAAGAAAATTAATCAGTACTAGAAATAGGCAGAAAGTCTGGCCCAACAGACAAGGTACTGTACCGGCACAGAAGACAGCAGTTTATTTATTTTTAGCTCTGCCATTGACTTCTGCTGTGACCTTAAGTCACTTCTCACTGCCCCTCTTTCCTTTCTGACCTTCTGTCTGTCTTGTTCATTTAACTCACAAGCTCTTTGGTGCAGAGATCTCTTTTTACCTCATGTGCAAGCTCTTTTACCGCATGTTTGCACAACACCTGCCACCCTAGGTTCCAGCATTGGAAAGGAGGTTTAGTTGCAATGGTAAAAGAAATAACTGCTTACTAACAGACACCAAAGAAGCTGTGCTCCTCTACCACCTTTTAAGCAAAAGTCAGTTTAAAATGAATGAACAATTAGCATGGGTCATTCTGGTTCATCAAGCCAGTACAGTCAAACACTTAGATGATAAGATTCTTGAGCAGGGGCAGGCTTTTTCTTATAGGTATGTACAGCACCTAGCACATGTCCAAAAGGAATTCTGTTTTTCTGCCTAGTGTTACAACATCAGTTAGTGGCAGATCTGAGAGTGGGGGAAAAACAGAAGTTAAGCCCCACTTTTTTTGCGGATGCCCCTCACTCTGCCCCCTGGCCCTGCCATTTTTTTAGGGTCAGCACTTCTGACCATATCCAAAATAAAACACACCCCACTTTTTGGGGGAATGGTTTTTTGTTTGCTGAAGCACAGTGAGAATTAAGAGGAAGAATGGCATGACTTACTGACTCGTGACGTGGGTGGGAGGTGTCCAACTTTTCCTTCCTCATCAGTTATGCGCTGCCACTGGTATGTGATAGGAGCTGTGCCAGAGGCTGAATTGCACTGCAAGGAGACTTCCTTTCCTTCAGATAAATCACCTTCTATCCAGCATTTGGGCTTGGCAGGCTTCTCTGGAAGAGAAGGGGTTGTGGAGCAATAGTCAACTTTTGAATTCAATGCAAGTCTTGCCACTTATTTTGGCGGGGCCAGGATTTCACCTAGGGACCAAAGCAGGGAAACCACCCCACCACAATGACTGTATTCAATAAGACGAACCAAGAGGTGCTCTTGGATAGGGTTACCATACATTTGGGGCCAGTGCCCCTGCTCGCAGGGCTGGGCCAGCTGGGGGACGCTGCTTGGGCATGGCCAGGCCGCCTGGCATGGCACTGGAGCCCCAGCCCAGGGCAGGGGGTGCCACAGGCCTCCCTCCCCTCTTCCCTCCCATCCATGCCAGGGCCAGGTTCGTTTTGCCACCACCTGCATGAATCGCAGTCGCCGTGCTCCGGCCCAGTTGGGACAGGGGCAGCTGGGGGCCCCCTCCAGCAGGGCTGGGGGGAGCAGGGGCTGCAGGTTGGGAGTGCAGGGCAGTGGCAGGGCCAGGGGGCAGCAGGTCAGGAGGAGCAGCAGCAGGGACGGGGGCTGCGGTTCGGGAGTGAGGGTCACCAGCATGGCTTCAAGGCTTGGGGGACTGTGAGTTGGGAGTAAGGGGCACTGGCAGGGCCAGGGGTCTGTGGGTTGGGAGCGAGGGGCACCAGCATAACCCAGGGTGGTGAGGGACTGTGGGTCAGGAGCGAGGGGCACTACAGGGTCAGGAGTCTGCAGGTTGGGGCGAGGGACAGCAGCAGGGATGGGGGGCTGCAGTTGGGAGTGAAGGGCACCAGCATAACCCGGGGGGTGAAGGACTGTGGGTCAGGAGCAAGGGGCACTACAGGGCCAGGGGTCTGCGGGTTGGGAGTGAGGTGCCCCCCCAACAGGTGTCCTCTTTTTTGGAACTGGAAATATGCCCATAACCCTACTCTTGGAAATGCAGCTGACCCTGCTAGCAGGGTACAGATTTTCTATGGCTCCTCATGACCAGGGAGCAAGAGGACATTATTTTCAGTGCTTTCTAAGAGCTGCTTTTCCCATTGAGCCATCTTGGGTGTGTCAGTGAAGCCTGCTGCTACTTGATTGTCATTATTTTGGGGCCCTTGCAGCAATAACTCCTCCTGCAGTCTGAGGTGAGGAAACAGAAATAACTTGATGCACCAGTGCAATTCTCCCATCAGGATTTTTACCAGGGTAAGGGAGGCCAAAGCATCAGCTTTGGGATCTAGGTACCATCTACAACCCCCATGAATGACTCAGGAAAATTTGGGATGTGGGCTTAATCCCTGTCATCTCCTTAAAGGTCACCCCTGTATTGCCAAACCTTTTGCATCACACTTTCCCTTCATTCAGCATGTGCTGTGACCTGCTTCTCCTTTCCTTCCCCTTTCTTCTTCCCCATCCTCTGGTCAGGATACCACATCCCCTGGTCTCTGGGTTAATTGCCTACTTACTAAAAATACTCAGAAACAACCCTTTCAACCAAGGAGGCAAAATGCCAACCCCAGCATCTTGCTTTGATCAGACTTGGAGCCAGTTCCTGGTGCTGAGATTTGGATCCAGAGGCCTCTGATGACATCATTATGTGGTGATTGCCCACACAGCTACACTGGCATTCCAGTTTTTATGATGAGATCGGAGAGATGCTTTGGAAAGGAAGGTTGCTATCCTTCTGCAGGAGGTTACACTGACCTACAAAGAGCGCTTTCAGCTCCTCTTTCTGGCTGTCCTTCACCAGAAAAATGCAAAGGCAAATATAAGGCTTGAGCATGAAACTTGATCATGAGATACTGGGAGACAGCCCAGGTGTATCTCTTCCATGCTGAAATAAATCTGCCTTAAGGAACTGAATCTAATGTGGGTTTTTTTAGACACCAACAACATGACCTTACCTAGAACCTTCAGCGTGATGTGAGTCCATTCATACTGCCCGGCATTTTTAACTTTACACGTGTACTGTCCCGCATCGCTGGGCTGCAAAAATATGATCTGTAGGGAGGCATCTCCAGCTAGGAAATTAGAGTTGAAGGAAACGCGACCCTTCTGCTCAACCTTAAAGTCGTTATAAACCTTGCCTCCAGAGTAAGTAATAACCTGGTGAGCAAAGATAGACCCTGATCAGCCAGTTGCCACATGACTTTATCATACTGATCAACTGAATGAAAGAACCGCCAGAGCCTCATGCATGAAACCAGATGAGCTTGCTTTGGATAATTGCTTTGGCTGTTACACAGGCATTAGGCATGATTCAACAGTTAAGGTTGCACTGGGCTTTCATCCTTTAGCAAGAATTTAATTCCTGTAATTACCCTGTCACATTTCACTTTAGAAAACCACAGTGGGCACACTGAGGTCTCATCTTATTTGGGTATTCATAGAGTTTATACAGCAGCAGTGTCAGGTACAATGTGGTTGCTTTCCCTGCACACTGGTGCAAACAACACTACACTTCCACCCACCCACCTTTGGTACTTACCTGGCCCCTTACGTTTTAAAGGTGTTTATCCTCAGAATACACCTGTGAAGCAGGATCATCCTATTATACTTACCTTGTGGATGAAGAGTAGAGGTGGTGGAAATAAGTGACTTGCCCAAGGTTACACAGGGAGTCTGTCTCAGAGCAGGAGACTAAACCCAGGTTACTCAAATCCCAGCCTGGCACCAGAAACCCAAGTGTAGATGAGGCCTTGAGCCTCATTATTTGAAAGTGGCCTCTGATTTTGAGACCCAAGGAAGGGTATTTGGTAGCCAAAAGTCTATCCCCAACAATGCAGTTTGTCCAATAAAAGATATCGCCCACTAAAATCCTTGCCTCTTGCTCTGACTTGGTGCATCTCAGTGCTTGGCTGCCCTGCTTGCATCATCATAGACTTTACTTTCAGAGGTGCTGAGCTCCCATTGACTTCAGTCAGAGTGCTGGGTGCTCATAAAATTCAGATGCCAAGCATCTCAAGGTGGATACCCAGAATCAGAGACCATTTCTGGAAATCTGACTGGGTGACTTCCAGTAGCCCTTGGCTATTTTGAAGCTTGGTTTCATAGTTTCATAGTTTC